ATAAGATTTCCAGAATGTCAATGGAAGACGTGAGAAACAGGAGAGAAGCTGACATAGCTTCAGATAACCAACAACTGGTGGTTGTCGATATGAAACTGATACTAAACAAACACTGGACAACTAAAGAAACAGCATTGCAAAGGTTCAATACAGTCTCCCATTCATATACTGACAAACTCATCGAATTCAAGATAAATCTCAACAACAGATTCCAATTCATACAAGATCTGCTGAAGGAAGAGAGAAAAGCTATTATGGAGGACAACTGGAAGGAAATCAAAGAAGCACTGACTTCAATGTGTCAGGAGGTTCTAGGCTGCACGAAGCATCGTCATAAGGAATGGACCATCATGGAAAACCTAGACAGCATTCAAGAAAGGAAGAACAAAAAGAAAACAATGCGCAACAGTGGAACAAGAACAGAGAAACTGAAGGCACAAGCCGAATACACTGAAGCAGACAAGTAAGTGAAGAGAAGCATTCGAGCTGACAAGTAGAAGTACATGGGAGAGCAAGCAATGACAGCGGAAAATACTGCAAGAGAAGGAAATATGAAAGAACTATGTCAGACAGCGAAGAAACCATCAGGGAAATATAGTAAACCAGAGAGACCGGTCAGGGACAAAGAAGGCATATCAATCACTGAAATTCAAGAACAAAGTGACAGATGGGTAGAACACTTCGAAAAACTCTTGAATCGACCAGCTCCATTGAACCCACTCGACATCGAAGCAATACAAACATACTTTCCAATATATTCAGGATGACCATCAGACTTATCAAGAGTGGGAAAGCATAACGACTTGACAATATACCAACCGAAGCACTGCATTCAGACATTAAAGCAACTGCAAACATGCTCCATATTCTATTCAAGAAGATTTGGGAGGACGAGGAGGAACAAGTGCCGATAGACTAGAATGAAGGACGCATCATCAAGATTCCAATGAAAGGAGATCTGAGCAAATGTGAGAACCACAGATGAATCACACTTCTGTCAGTATCAGGAAACGTTTCCATCAGAGTGTTTCTGAAAACAGATGAGAGACGCAATAGACGCCCAACATCGAGACCAACAGATTGGATTCCGTAAGGATCGGTCGTGCACAGACCAAATTGCGACACCACGGATCATCGATGAACAGTTGAGTGGAGCTCGTCACTACACAATTTCTGGTTTATCATACAAATATGGTGTCGTCCACCCATTAATTTTATGAACAAGAACTTTAATCTGATTGATCATCTAACCATTAGCAGTTATTTAAAATCATGGTTAGCTGATGTGTTTATATCATACATATATGTCAAACTAAAATATATCTTTATGGGTATTGGATGGATAACGCCATAGTTGAATATTATCAAACCAGAAGATCTACATTAAATAAAAATATCGTAATCAGAACTAAGAACAAAATTGAAATGATAATTAGAAAATAGTTCCCACACCATGGTTTAAATATATAGGCAAGCATAAAATTAATTTAGCAATCCATTATTCTAAATTCCAACCACTACAACAACTTTATCTGTAATTTCAATTCAGATCGGCTTGCACACTCGATAACTATTTAGAATCTACTAAAGTAAACTTTTATAATCTTTGTATTTTATAAGTTCGTTACCATGCCTATGATAAGTGTTCTCCATTATTATTTTGATATGCGTGTATTGATGAGAACAATAGTGAAAGATAATTGTATTCATTTACAATTAATGAAGTAAAGGTTCTACAATTATTCTTCACCCGACTTGTTTTTTTCATATTTTAAGTTCATAAATCAAAAATTAATTTAAGTAACTTAGAATCTACAATAGTAAATACTTTTAGGGTGATATAATATTCAAGAAGAACATTATACGCTGAATAACACATTGAATATTTCCCAGTTTATATTTAAGAGTTAGATCCATTGTAGTAATCGAATTTTTACAAATTTAATTCTTGTCTAGTTGTTTTTTTCATTAGTTTAATCTTCATCTTCGAAATGATATAAAATCTCATAATTACAAAACTGTCAAAATTTTAGTTCAATAAAGAACAGAGATTCATATTGACCTATGTGAAGAAATATGATTGTTTTCTATTATTTGCTTGTTGAATTATCCAGAAGAACTGTAGAAGTTAGAAAGTATAATACTAATAATAACCAGAGAATTAGAATAAAAGCATACAAATGAACTGCTTTGAATTAGTCTGGAACCATATTCTTTATAAATCTAATATTTAACATGTTAATGTTCTGTAGTCTATCATATACTATCACTAGACCCACTGAATTGTATTGATTTGAAGTCTAAAAATCAGTTGTCTTAAAATTAATTTTTGTTAAGTCACAAAACAAAAAACGGTTTCGTTTACATTGTCACTGTACCAGCGTTGAAAATGTGTATCCTGTTTGACTCAATGGACCAAACACGGAAACGTGTATTGAAAAAGGCACAACTTTATATCATTGTTTGTTATTCAACTGCAAATACCAAACAAACTAAATAGTTGAAAAGTAATAAATTTCGAAAACATGTAGTCAATGTAAATGTATAATCGAATATTTATCACTGAGCAATTATCGAGTAAATAATGCTGCCAATTTCTTTTAATGAACAATTAATAATCGACATTATTGTGAAAAGTTTACATTTTGATCCATTAGGCATACGAAATAAAACTTTATTCTCGTACTGTTAGGTTTGAAGCGATTACGAGTTCACTTAGACTGCGAACTGAACAAAAAAATCGGTGACCAAAAACTAATAAGCTAGCTATTCGTTGCGTCACAGCCCCGCTAAACTAGAGGAAGAAGTCCAAGTTTGAAATGGGTAAGTATATTCCGCAAAAGCCAGAAACCAGTGATAACAACAGACACAAATCAAAACGTATATATACAGCACAAAACCGTCCTTGGGGAGAGTTACGAAATAGCATGCTAAAAGACACAACGGATCAATAGCATTCAAGATTCTCCCGAGTGGGAAATACTACATGAAGGTGAGAAGAGCGCTTTTGGCGCGAAAACAAAGAAATTCAGACTTTCCAAATAAAATTACAAAATTAGGCCCCTTTCCAAGTGACTTCTGAGGGTCTAACATCTCCAACACGTACTAAACTACAATTACAAATGCAAACAAAAGTGGTAAATTTTATTAAACATTTTAAATAATAGATTCAATCTTTTTTAGGGGAAGGGAGTGGGGCGGTGAAATAAACACAAGATAAATAATAAAGTTGAAATGTTCGCAAATTTATACTACTTTAAGTCTCAATAATTTTTGAACGACCAAATGTTTCAGAAGACAATTATTTAATAAATCCATCCTAAGATTAGTTTCATTTAAATATCACTTTCAGTGTATTGTCCGTACGGGAATAAATTGAACATAGTGATTGGTGGCTAATAATCGAAATATCAACAGTAGTAATGTCTACTGTGATGAATAATTTAGGCGTATTTTATTTTACATCAATACCGCCTGCCTTAATAATCAATTGATGGGTAACTTGTACATGAAATACTTTACTATTAAATTTTACTTAGTCATCTTATATCCATATTTCAAATCCTGATCGTTGATGAACGGATTACATTTTTAAAAAAGATGGATGGTGGCCAGCAGTGGAATCCAGGACGCTCATTTTGTCCTGTTCGGAATTCATCAGCTGGATGTACCTGCATCCTAGAGTTGATATTCGCCCCGGGACTCGAACCCAGCACTGTTCGCTTCAAACACCATCGCGTTGTCCATTTAGCTACTGAGTCTTGATAGCCACCAGCTTTTGAAATGAGAAGATACATGCAAGCAACACCAAGTGAATTTAAATTTCACTCCATTGGACAAGCGAGTGGCTATCAGAACTTAGTAGCTAAGTGAATAACGCGATGGCGTTTGAAGCGAACGGTTCTAGGTTCGAGTTTTGGGGTGAACATCAACATTGGAATGCAGGTTTTAGGTAATTAATTGATACACGAAAGTAATTCAAGGTTTATTCTTAAAAACTAAGATATAATTAATGAATTCAAAAAATCACTAAATTAATATTTTGAATAATTTAGTCTGTATAAAATTAGATTAACAATGTACGTTTATAATCATTTAATTATATTTTTCAGGCAAGAATATTGAAGATAAAAACTGATACTGAATAAAAATGTACTACTTCTAAACACAAATTGACCATCATCATAATGAAACTAATAAAAAGAAAGGGGTTTTGCTGATATTATAGTATCTTAATAGCTGAAGTCATGAGTCATCTGAAGCCTGACCTTGAAGCACTAGACGGTCGTTTGGTCCTCGTATGTGTTAATGTCTAACTTCAACCAATCTACGAAATCGTGCCACCGTCCACCATTGTCTTTAGTGAGTTACTATCTCACAACAGACTCGGTTGAACTACAGTGATCACTGCTTCTCACTAGAACTTCAAGAAATACCTCTTGAAGTCAGTCATTACTGAGCACATGATGATGATTATTATTATCAGAAGTGCTTCCAGGTTTTTCATGGTGGTCTAGCTTCAATTGACCATTGAATTCAACTATTAAATTATTATTATTATTATTATTATTATTATTATTATTATTATTGAGTACTCTATCAATGGATAAAATAACACACAAATTATCGAAACTAATGTTATGTTCCGATACATGTAATTCAAGTTAATAAAACAAACTCAACCTATATGGGCTTTGCTTTTATTTTTAATTCAACACTAATATGCACTATGATTTTAAATTGAATAATCTACCGAATTCGACAAAATATATTCGACTTTTACCAAGTGCACTAATCATAAAAATGAAGTTAATAAGAAAAATATTTCATCAATTTTTATCTGAACATTGAAAAATAATAAACAAAACGAATGTTCACTCATTCGTTATATCATGATTGAATCAACTAACACATTTACGTACAATGAGTACAATAATAAATAATGCACTCATGATGATCTGTCTGCAATATATATTAAATGAAATGAAATGAAATATAGATAGTTATTCATTTTAATATAAGCTTTTTAAAAGTCATCTATTGAAATTAATGAATCTCTTTTTTATTGTTTTCGATAATTGTCATTGATTCAGTCAGTGAGTTACAACGTAGGACTAAACATATATACCCCTTCTAACAACCAGATCAACAATTTTCATAGGTACGTGGAAAGTCCGGACAGTGTGATAGACCTGGTGGACCAGCCAAACAGCAACGGAAATCAGGAGACACAACTTGGCAGTACTCAGAATCAGCAAAACCCATAGGACACAAGCTGGACAGCAAAGGCTAAATGCGGTAGAGATGCTGCTGTACTCCGTTCACGAATAGGAAAATGCTCCACACACTCAGGCAGTTGCTCTGATACTGTCCGGAGAAACACGTAATTCACTCATAGAATGGGAATCTCACGGATCCAGGATCATCATAGGATCCTTCAGAACAGAGAAGCAGGGAATCACAACGAATGTTATCCAATGTTATGCACACACCAATGTTAACAACGACGACAATAAAGATCAGTTTTACGAAAGGCCGCAATCAATCATAACGAAGTGCCCAAGAAGCGATCTGACCATCCTGATGGGAGATCTAAACTCCAAAACCGGAATGGACACTACCGAATATGTGGATATCATGGAACGACATCGAGTGGGAGAAAAGAATGAAAATGACGACGGATTTTCAAATTTATGTGTATTCAACAAATCGGTTATATGTGGTACAATATTCCTCCACGAACGCATACACAAAGATAACTGGGTCTCAACGGATCACACTACACTGAACCACATTGATCATATTCACATCAATAAGATTTCCAGAATGTCAATGGAAGACGTGAGAAACAGGAGAGAAGCTGACATAGCTTCAGATAACCAACAATTGGTGGTTGTCGATATGAAACTGATACTAAACAAACACTGGACAACTAAAGAAACAGCATTGCAAAGGTTCAACACAGTCTCCCATTCATATACTGACAAACTCATCGAATTCAAGATAAATCTCAACAACAGATTCCAATTCATACAAGATCTGCTGAAGGAAGAGAGAAAAGCTATTATGGAGGACAACTGGAAGGAAATCAAAGAAGCACTGACTTCAATGTGTCAGGAGGTTCTAGGCTGCACGAAGCATCGTCATAAGGAATGGACCATCATGGAAAACCTAGACAGCATTCAAGAAAGGAAGAACAAAAAGAAAACAATGCGCAACAGTGGAACAAGAACAGAGAAACTGAAGGCACAAGCCGAATACACTGAAGCAGACAAGTAAGTGAAGAGAAGCATTCGAGCTGACAAGTAGAAGTACATGGGAGAGCAAGCAATGACAGCGGAAAATACTGCAAGAGAAGGAAATATGAAAGAACTATGTCAGACAGCGAAGAAACCATCAGGGAAATATAGTAAACCAGAGAGACCGGTCAGGGACAAAGAAGGCATATCAATCACTGAAATTCAAGAACAAAGTGACAGATGGGTAGAACACTTCGAAAAACTCTTGAATCCAACAGCTCCATTGAACACACTCGACATCGAAGCAGTACAAACATACCTTCCAATATATATTTCACTCACCCAACAATCGAATAAATCAGGATGGTTATAATTATATATATATAATTACATATCAGTGATAGACGGCATTCAGTGCATGGTAATTTCAACTTGTGTACCGTTCATTATTATAATGTAATGGATAACTGACCTAATATTTTTTTTTAATAGTTAAGCATTCACCTTGTTACTTATAAATTTATAGGTTATATCTCTGATAAGTTCATGAATACTTATTGCTGAATTATCTCATATTACAATAAAATATCTATATAATACTTGTTGATTTACAACATTAACTTAACGGATACAAATCTATACTAAATATAAGTGATATATTAAATTCATCTTAACCTAAATCATTTAATTAACTTAAAATTGTTTTATTTAGGGTCATGTTTTTTTTTAATATTTTATTCCTATTGATTGATGAATAAATTTCAAGATCATTATTTAATAATATTGAATATGTAATTTATCAAAATAAATTATGATCATGTTTAGAAAAATATAATTCATTTTAACTTATTAAATAATCTTACAAACGTCATTTAAAAGGAGAAAAAAAACATTTTTTTTATTTATCATTGCTGTATCCATAGCTAATATCATGTTACAGACAGTTTCAAATTGATGAAAAATGAAATATTGAATTACACTATAAATTGTTCATTTATAAAAATAGATTTTTAAAATGTTTATAAAAAAGAACATTGAGGAATTTTTATAAATAAATACAAACTATTCATCTGGTTACATCAATGTAGAATACAACAAAACAAAAACAAACGAACAAAACAAACAACAGAATATAAAAATAAGAACTATTATGATTGATTTAAATAAAGTAAATTGTACTGAACTTACTTACTTACTTACATCCAACTTGTCCTATCCATTTCCATCGTCTTTTCCTAATTTCTTCTTCAGCTAGCAGCTGGTTTGTTCTCTTCCACAAAAGGCTGTTGCTGATGGTATCCAGCCAGTGGATGTTGAATATCTTGCGTAGACAACTATTTATAAATACTTGTACCTTCTTGATTGTGGTTGTTGTAGTTTTCCAAATTGGTGTACGTAATTAAAATATTATAATGTAAGCATTATGAATCGTATAGTGGATTATTCGGTTCTGGGTTTAAGAAACATTTTAAAAAACAATAGTGTCTAATTCAACTTCTGGTTAGCGTTTTTTTTTCTAGCGAGTTAGTCTTCTACGGGATGGAGTCGTTAACCCCATGCCCAACCGTCCTCCTTTATTCAGGCTTGTGATCAGCAGTAGCCACAGAAGGGCTCCGGGCGGAGTTTCTAATTCAATTTGTAAATTTTATTATATTTGTGTTTTTTATAAAATTTGATATGGCTTTCGTATACTAGACAAATCTTAAGCTATGGTGGAGTAGATTTGTAGGTCAGATGGATGATTTTGATGGAGTTTTGTCCTATGAACTGGATGGTTTAGTTATGGAGCTTCTACCTGAAGTTTGTGCTGATGATGTTGTTCAGAAGAACGATGAAAGCTCCACGACGTAACATTCCAGCTCAGAGAATAAAACTCCATCAAAATCTTAAGCTAGTTGGTATTGAATTTGATTACTTATAGGTTGTAAATGATATATATTTCGATTTGTATAAGTGTCTTTTGTTTCTGATTAGCAGTTTGATATGTTTTGAAGTGATGTCTTGTTAAGTTAGATCTATGCGATGAAAAAAATGTCAACCAAATGAAGGTATTTAAACATTCTTAAGCAGTGTATACTTTCCTTAGCCTATTGAATAAAATAATGAAACCATGAAAAAAGTTATTAAGAATATAGTGTTACTTTATTCTCCCAGTTTTCTTGAGAACAAATTTCTTCTTTTCATATTTTACACAAAGCTTATGTTACTTCCGATATAACTATGTTACAATGGACTTCATAAACTTAAAGGTTATAAAAGGATTTGTGACACATCATAAATTTCCTATCTTTCGGTTATTGCTAATTTATTTTCACAATTTATATATGCTAACATATCAATAACGAAGGCTAAAAGCTGGTTTGTTATAATATTCGAGTTAACAACCAAAGTGTCTGTATGGACAAAATCTTTGTATGAATTTATCTCGGTACCGCTAAAATTAGTTTATTTATATTACTTACTTACTTACGCTTGTTACTACTCGTGAAGGAGCATAGGCCGCTCACCAGAATTCTCCATCCAACCCTGTCCTGGGCAATCCTTTTCAGCTCCTTCCAGTTCTTATTCATCCTTTTCATATCTGCTTTTATTATCCGACGTAATGTGTTCTTTGGCCTTCCTCTTTTCCGCTTCCCTTCTGGATTCCAAGTTAGGGCTTGTCTCGTGATGCAGTTTGACGATTTGCGTAATGTATGTCCTATCAATTTCCATCGTCTTTTCCTAATTTCTTCTTCAGCTGTAAGCTGGTTTGTTCTCTTTCACAAAAGGCTGTTGCTGATGGTATCAGGTAATAAATATTTTCTGTGGTTTACACATCAGAAGCTTTAAGGTAAGATTCCACTGTTTTAATGAACGTAATTTGTTTAATTATGAATCAAATTCTGTTTATATAATTAAGAGCTTACACGCACATAACGTAGTGGGAACCAAATTATACGAAAATCACCTTTGAAATAATTGGTCACAAGTTTTTGAGGTTAATTAAAGGATCGAGAAATAAACTCATTTTTTCTACTTAACAGATACTTAGACCTAACTTGTTGATATACGAAAATGGGATTCATATTTTATATTGGTATTCTTAGCAATCTGTACGCGTCCCATAATATTTGGTCGCCCGAAATTTCAACCGCTTAGCTTTATGTTGCATACATCAGGTAAATACAAGATGTTTCTGTTTTATCTATCATGTGTAGCTATATAGCTATTCATTACTTTGTTCTGTTTGATGAAAGGTTTACCATGCTCTGTCGTTCAGATTATGTGGTTATTTTCCAATTTGCACAGTTTCACTTCAATAAATCTTGTGTGGTCAGATTTTATAAGATTTTATACATACGTACATCACAACACTAACAGTATAAATGTTGTGTAAATAAGTATAAATAAATCAATTAAAACATAAAGAGTTTTAGCGAAATTGTATACTAAACTGGACAACATTTATAGCTAAATTTAGTATCCATCATTTCTGACATATAGGGAGGAAATAACACACACCTCACCACTAGAACATTAATCCGATTAATTGTTATGATGGATGGAGGCAGATTTAAACTAAGGTGTGGACTATTTCCAATCCATAAATTGAATTAGTGTATAATTATTTCATGTAACTGATTGTATTATGTGTATGTATGGTTGCATGCCTTGATAATAGTGCTTAGATTATTTCAAATTATTAATTAAGATAACATTTGAATTGATTTTAGGAATATGAGCAAAATTTACTAAGTGTAAAGCTCTTAATACTTGTGAACTGAGATAAAAATGACTTTACTGTTACCTACTAATTTTCATTTTAGTATTGATATACAAATTCAAATAAATAGTTCATTTGACTAATTTCATACAACAGTAATATAAATGTCTAATATTGTTCAGAATAAATTCCTAATTGACAAACATTGTTTATTATCAGTAAACTGATTGTTCTGATAAATTACATGATATATTTCTTTATTAGTAATAATAATAACAACTTTTAGTTATCATTACCAAGGTTTGACTTGATCATTTCGAATAAATTGAGCATTGGGTTATAAAAAAATAATATATTTGTAATATCCCAACGAGAAGAAAAAATAGATGTGTTGACGTTTCGTGACCTAGAGTAAGCTACTTCTTCAGAGGATTCATTCTCTAAGTCATGAGACGTGAGAACATCTAATTTTTCTACTCATTGGGATATTACAAATATATTATTTGTTTATAATAATAACAATTATTATTATTGGTCATTAGTTATATTTTGTTAATTTTTGGTTTGTTTTATTTCTTTTTCATTACCGAATTCTTATTTTATGTATATTTAAACCGCCCTACTTCACAAATACATCTAAACTCACTCACTTCTCTTAAATTTTGTGAACTCATCAAATGTTGTTTAATCATTGAGCAAACCATCTTACCAGTTTTTGATTCTAGGAATCTTGCGCAAACCCTTCATTACCTCCAAAATTATCACAATTGATTTTATTTGTTTCTGAACTTCACTCAATTATTACATCACCCACCCCTCATGTTTCTTGATTCTAACACCAAATGACCTCCGACCTGTTTCTGATCACATATATATAGTTATTATTGGTGACCTTCGTCATTCCAATTCTTTTCATTTACTTATGTAAATTATTTCACACTATATCTTACCTCAATGTAAAATCTTATTACATATTTCGTTGTAAGCAGCTGATGGAAAGCCTCAAAATATTATTCTGCGTCCATGTTCGTTCTGGCTTTATATAATTATTTTTATTATTACCAGTATTATCATCACAATAACCATGATACAAAATTCTGTTTTCAATTAGTCGTTTTAATAGACGATTTTGATCTATTAATTAAAACTTATCACCTTAAAGGCATATTAATTTTCTTGCTTCTTCCTGTAATACTTTTTTTTCAACTTTACGAGTGACCTTTAAATTCACTTGGTATTGTTCACGTGAAAAATTCCGTTGATCTTTAGGATTGCAATCGACCAGTCTCTTATTGGTATATGTGCATACTGGGCATATTGCCTCGATATTGTCTTAATTCACAATCATTCTAAGCAAAGATAGATGAATAACGTATATTGTTAACATTTAAAATGTAGTAGATGTACATTTCACTATTTTCAAATTATAATATTGATAAGTACAAACAAGACGTTTTCTTCGCAAATTTTAATATTTTGTTTTATGTTCTACAGTGATCATAAATTTGTAGTAGTGAAGATTTATAACTCGCGTCGATGATTTAATAAGGGTTCTTTCTCTGAACTGGGTGTTTTCATCATTTAGCTTTCATTGTCTTTCTGAACAATATCATCAGTACAAAATTCAAATAGAACTGAGTTGTACGAACAATAGCAATCAATCAAGATCAAGATTGACAAAATAAGCTATCAATCATATATGAAGAAATTCGAACAGCTCACTTCTATCTTAAGTTTGTGCTGATTATGTCGTTCGTAAGAATGATGCAAGCTTCAGGACTAAATTACTTAATTTAAAAATGAGACGTCACGAAAACTTTGAATTTGTGACATTAGAAACTAAATTTATCGAAAAACAATTATTCACTCTAATATTCTTCGTCTTTTGAATATTCTATGAGGATTTCGCAATTACCAAAAAAGGTAATGTGAATTGGTAATTTATCTAATGAAATATCTTTTTTATTAAACTAGCAATTATGATATAATTACAATACCTTAATTGATGTCCCAAGTATTGACTTGCTTATAACACTATTGGATACTCCAATACAATAATTGGCCTAAATATTTACTCACAGTATCATATAAACTGAATTGTTAATTACTGTTTGTCAAAACAATTTTTTAGATTACGTAAACGTTCAACGTCATTATACCTAAAAAAATAATCCTTCTGTTCCCATGTATCATATATCAAGCAGGAAAGTAATTAGTCAATAGAATTTATCCCAAGAATTTCGTTTTCTCTGATATATTCAAGAAAATGATGGTATAGGGTGGAACTGAACTTTTTTATTAAGACATTTTACAAAGGAATGATAGAAATTATTTTAATAAGTTAGGATCTCTTTTCAATGAATTTATTATCAAACTGTACAATCATATATATGAAACTTTTTTGTTAAAGTACTAGTTCCGTGAGGAAATGTGAACAAAGAATAACCAAGATGATGTAATAGAAAGATTATAATGCTAGACCACGTAATATGAGTAGTAATAATAATAAGCTTGTATTTACAAGCTTTTG